TCTAGCTGCCTTTAAAACTCTTTCCTTGTCCTTGATCTCTGCCACTTTAATTATTATGTGTCTTGTTGTTGTCCTCCTTGGGTCCTTTCTGCTGGGAGTTCTGTGTATTTCGTTGTTCTGTTTGATTATTTCCTCCCCCAGTTTGGGGAAGTTTTCTGCAGTTATTTCTTCAAAGACACTTTCTATTCCTTTTTCTGTCTCTTCTTCTGCTACCCCTGTAATACAGATATTGTTCCTTTTGGATTGGTCACACAGTGTTCTTAATATTGTTTCGTTCCTTCAGATCCTTTTATCTCTCTCTCTGTCAGCTTCTATGCGTTCCTCTTCTCTGGTTTCTATTCCATCAATGGCCTCTTGCATCTTATCCATTCTGCTTATAAATCCTTCCAGAGTTTGTTTCACTTCTGTAATCTCCTTCCAGATGTCTGTAATCTCCCTCCGGACTTCATCCCTTATCTCTTGCATATTTCTCTGCATCTCTGTCAGCATGTTTATGATTTTTATTTTGAATTCTTTTTCAGGAAGACTGGTTAGGTCTGTCTCCTTCTTAGGTGTTGTCTCTGTTATCTTTGTGTGCCTGAAATTTTGCCTTTTCATGGCGATATAGATTGCAGAGCTGGCACGAGTGATGGCCAGAAGAACTTCCCTTCTTGTTGGTTTGTGGCCTTCCTCTCCTGGGAGAACAGCGACCTCTAGTGACTTGTGCTGGGAAACTGCACGCAGATGGGGCTTCTGATTCTTGCCCGGCCACTATGTAGTTTATCTCCACTGTTGATGTCTGCGTGGCCTGCCTCGGGCTGCTGTTCCGATATGGTGGAGCCACGTTGGAGGGGGAACAGGCGGGAGGCTATTTATCTCTGTGAGGGGCCTCTGTGCTCCCTGCTGCCCAGGGGGTTAGAGTGTCCAGAGTTCCCCAGATTCCCTGTTGCTGGACTAAGTGTCCCAGGATGGTTCCATCTGGCCCTGGGGTCCCTGTCCCTTTAAGACTTCCAAAAAGCACTCGCTTTTCTTTGTCCCCAGGGCGCTGGCTGTGGGGTCCCACTCACAGGTCTTACTGTCCTGTTTCCCTATTATCCAGGACCTCACACAGGCACTGTGTCTGCACTTTGGTGTGGATGGCTAGGGCTGGCTATTTAGCAGTCCTGGGCTCCCTCTCCCTCCCCGCTCAACTCCTCTCCTCCCACCTGGAGCTGGCGTGTGGGGCGCTTGGGTCCCGCCGGGCCAGGGCTTGTATCTTACCCTCTTCACGAGGCGCTGGGTTCTCGCAGGTGTGTATGTGGTCTGGATGTTGTCCTGTGTCTTCTGGTCTCTCTTTTAGGAAGAGCTGTCTTTGTTGTATTTTCAAAAATATATGTGGTTTTGGGAGGAGATTTCTGCTGCTCTACTCAGGCTGCCATCTTGGCTCCACCTCTTGAGCAGTCATATTTTGAAAGGAATCTTTTTCTGAGTAGCGGGTATCAACCAAGTGCTTAAAATCTTTAGTAAACCACGTTGTATATAGACATGCTTTATTATTCCCTTTACAGAGCACAGGCAGAGTAGTTTAAGCATAATTCTTATGGGCCCTAGGATTTTCAGAGTGGTCAGTGAGCACTGGCCTCAACTCAAAGTCACCAGTTGTATTAGACCTTCACAAGAGATTCAGCCTATCTTTTGAAGGTTTGAAGCCAGGCACTGACTTCTCCTCTCTGGCTATGAAAGTCCTAGATGGCCTCTTCTTCCCATCCAAGGCTGTTTCATCTACATGGAAAAGCTGTTGTTTAGCACAGCCATCTTCATTGATGATCTGAGCCAGATCCTCTGGATACCTTGCTGCAGCTTCTCCATCAGCACCTGCTGCTTCACTTGCACTTTGATGTTATGGAGACAGTGTCTTTCCTTAAACGTCATGAACCTACCTGTGCTAGCTTCCAACTTTTCTTCAGCAGCTTCTTCACCTCTCTTAGCCTTCAGAGAACTGAAGAGAGTTATGGCTTTGCTCTGGGTTAGACTCCTGACTTCAGGGAATGTTGTGGCTGGTTTGATCTTCTACCCAGAGTTCAAAAACTCTCTCCATATCAATAATAAAGCTCTTTTGCATTCTTATTATTCATGTGCTCACTGGAGTAGCACTTTTAATTTCCTTCAATAACTTTTTTCTTTTGCATTCACAATTTGACTGGTGCAAGAGGCCTAACTTTTGGCCTAGCTCAGCTTTTGACATGCTTCTCTTACTTAACTTAGTCATTTCTAGCTTTTGATTTAAAGTGAGAGATGTACAACTCTTCCTGTCACTTGAACAGTTAGAGGCCACTGTAAGGTTATTAATTGGCCTAAATTCAGTATTATGTCTCAGGAAATGAGAGGGAGAGGAAGGGAAACAGCCAGTAGCGAGAACACAAGACATTTATTAAGTTTGCCGTCTTATACAAGCAAGGTTCTGGCACCCAAAACCATTACAATAGTAACATCAAAGATCACTAATCATGGATCACCACAACAAATATAACGATAATGAAAAAGTATGAAATTTGTGAGAATTGCCAAAATGTGATACAGAGACACAAAGTGAGCAAATGCTGTTGGGAAAATGGTACCAATAGACTTACTTGATGCAGGCTTGCCCCTAACCGTCAATTGTAAAAAATGCCGTGTCTGCAAGGGCCAATAAACTGAAGTGTAGTAAAACTAGGCATGCCTATAAAATCTCAAAGTTCATAGAGCTAGTAAGTGGAAGAGTCAGAATTCAAAACCAGCTCTGTCTGATTACAAAACCAGTGTCCTGTCCACCATAACATACTGGCAAAAATAAAGTCAAAAGGGAAAATCAGTTGAGATCTAAAACTGAGTAGGTTACAAAAAGAAAAAGGTTCCAACAGTAAGGGAATAAAGGAAAAGAGAGTTCTAGGAATGCTGAGGGAAAAAAAGAACAGAACAAGCTAAATTTAACATTAATGCAGAAGGGAAACAAGCAAATGACGTTCCATTTCCCAGTTACTAGTAAACTTATATGTCCTTTAATCCACCGTGATACTGAAGTCAGATTAACTGTTTATTTCAGCTGGCTCCTCTTTTAGTCCTTTCTTTTTGTCTTTTCTTCCTTTTTTTTCATGTCAGATGGGTAATGTGCTAACTTGTAATAAGGTGTGAGGGAGGCACATGTCACACAAAAGCATGAACACCCAGTCATGCTTATGAATGACAAAAGGACCTTTGGTTCTTCCTGTGACCAACTGGAGACAAAGTAAATGCAAGTAAAATTGGGCGTTTAGGAAAAGTGATGGGTTAGAACACCAGCCTTGTATTATTTCTTAGCGACACACACAAAAAGTAGGTAAGGCTACCAGATTTGGCCAAAAACAAAACAAACTGAAACCCCAAATCAGATACTAACTTAAATTTGAATTTCAAATTTCAGCTGAACAATGAATAATTTTTTAGTGTAAGTATGTATGTCTCATGTATTTCATCTGGAACCTCTAAAAGGAGGCTTCCTCAAACTACAAGAATAATAAGCACAACCGGCTGTCCCAAAACTGATAGCAAGACCTAGAATTTACTTCAGTTATATCAAAGTCACCATATTCCTGTTGACAAATAATTTTTAAAATCTAAATATAAAATTAGCATTAAAAAGGCATCATATTTGGTAATCTAGCCCTGGTACTGTATTTGTGAGGAATGAATCAAATTACCTTAGGATGTCAAAGTGTTCTGTCCATAGGGCACTGTCAATATTCAGGAAACTTGCTGGCACCAGAAAGGCGCTTACCAGGGTCTTGCTTAGGTGATAAATAAGCTAACCCTATCAGATTACAATTTGATTTATCAAGTCAGGTAGATGAGAAATTCATCAAAGGTAAATTAATAAGAAGTTATTAAAATATTTAATGTCAGCTCAAAAACAAACTGAATTCTGCTGTGAGTATCTCCTCTGTTTCAAAGTGGAAAGTGGATGCTTACTGTCCATGCTCAGGATCTTGTCCATTCATCATGGTGAAGAGAAACTGCCTTCGGCCTTTTTGCTCCAGTGGGTCCAGGTCTATCACTGTATGAAGGATGAGAGGAAAAAAAGCCAAGAATCATAGACTGTTGCTATTTGGACACTGAGACGTCCATAAGTGGAGTATGTAAAACAGTGATATAAAGCGGAGGCTGGCAAAGTAGGGCCTGTGGGCTGCCCACCTATTTGCATCAATAAAGTTTCATTGAACACAGGCACGCTTACTTGTTCATATTATTATTTATGGGTGATTTCCAACTACCAGGATAAAACTGAGTAATTGTGACAGAGACTGTTTGGCCCACACACCCTAAAATATTTACTATCTTTATGAAAAGTTTATCAGCCCGTTATAAAGGAAGCTTTACAGTCCGCACTGAGAGCTGTCCTGCATCTGCTGAGATGATGTGCTCCCACCACTCCTCAGCTGGACAAATTCTAGGAAACATATTTTTTTAGGGCCATCTAGAGATCTGGGTTTTGTGGCAGGTTCAACTCAAAATGCCTGTGTCAACATCCTTGCCCTCCTTCCTCTTCATATTTATACGGGAATGTTGCATCATCATATACATTGCCCCACATTTTCCAACCTCTATGTTAGCTAGGTTTAGCTACATGATTAAGTTCCTGGCCAAACTGTTGTGTGAAATCTGCTTAACAGGCTAGCTTTGAGGCTTGCTTTCTTTCTCGGGCAGCCGTTAAGTAATGATGATGGGTAACCAAGAAGATGGAAGACAGGCAAAGGATGTGGGAAGGCAAGGCAGGTGTTTGGACCCCCCCGGTATCACTAGGTTCAGGCCTGGACTGCCCACCTCTGTACTTGTTTTACACAAGTGAGAAATAAACTTATCTTGCACTATAGAAGGAGAGGATCTATTTTTTAAATGAATAAAAGGAATAGAGAACAAGAAACAGCTCTTAGAAATTTAAAATACTCAGTAAATGACTAAAAGAAAAAAATTAAGGAAATCTCCCAAATAGAAAAAACAGAGGTAGAATATAAGAGGAATGTGATAAAATCAGAGGATCAATTTAGAAGATTCAAAAGTCTACTAACAAAATGAGAAAACGTTGGGAAGAAAATTATCATAGAAATGTTAATAACATTCCCCAGAACTAAAAGACATGAGTTTCTATTTTGAAAGAGCCTCCTGAATGGCCAGAACAATTAAAGAAAAAACATACATATTCTGAGATTTAGGAATGCTAACGTTGAAGATAAGATTCCTGGGCTGGATCTAAAAGACCATGGACCAACTGCTTTGAAATTACGAATGAAAATGTTTTCAGCATATACTTGGTCTACTTACCAGTGATGTATGTGGGTAGAATAAAGTTATTTCATGCATGACTGTCTCAAAATATATACTTCCAATGTACTCTTTTTTTAAATGCTTGTGCAATATATGATCTATTGAAATAAAATAAATCAGAGGATGACACAGGACCCAGGAGACAGGAAATCGAGTTTAGCAGAGAATTTAATCAAATTCTCTCAGTGGCAGCAGTGGGCTAATAAATGAACATGGGCTAAAAAGGAGCAAGAGAATGAAGAAAAGTCTTTAGGAAAAAATAATAAATTATTTGACAGGTTTGGTAACTTGAAAATTTGGAAAGGCTGTTGGAGGGTATAAAAAGAATTACAAGTAAAAAATGAAAATAAAACAAGTGAAAAACTGAGACAAAATAATGACCAAGAAAGGAAACATAATCCTGGTATACCACTTGGCTCTGCCAGAATGAATATTTACATATCCATAATAATAGAAACAATTGAGATTGGATTAAATAAAAATTATGATCCAACTGTAAGGGTTATAGGTGTGCTTTAAGAGAGAGAGAAATTGTATGTGCTAAGATAGGAAGTCTGCAGATAATTTCTAAAACTGGTGAATCAGGAAATTGCAATAGAAACATTACCCAGAAACATGGAGTTAAATAATAGAAGAAACAGCAGAAAAAGGGAAAAGTGGTGTGGCAGACTAAGGGGACACCGGGAGGGGCGAGGGGGAGTGATCTTTGGCGAAGGGGTGGAGCAAGGGACTGTTTGACTTTAAACAAACATCTTTTTTGTTCTATTTGATATTTTGAAACCATATGCATATATTACTGTGATAAATAAAAGAAAATCAAATGGTTGGATTCACCCCATCAGAGAAGTCCAGAGTGGTTCTGACCCCTCAGTTTAAGCATCTGTCGGTCTCCTTTCCCAGCTAACCACAGGGAACTCCTCACTTTTGCTGAAGTGAAAGTGGATCTCTTCTCCTGCCCTCGGCTTCCTCAGGGACACTGGGGTCTCTGTCTCCGACAAGGGTAGATCGTAGAACCTGTACTCCACGTACACTTGTTTTACGTTCTCATCACACATCACTTCAGCCTCTGGGTAGAAGGCCAGGGACACAATTTCAATGCACATCCTCTCTGAAACCTGATAAGGAAAATATTTATTTCCTATTGATTAGCAATGCTCCATGTGTTTAGACCCTATCTGATTAACACATTACTCCCTCAGACTCAACCACAGGCAGACCCCATCTAAATTATTACTACTCCTTGATAATCAGTTTATAGGTAAAACTGGTACCAAGAGACAACGTGACTGAATTGCTACTGCGAATTGGTGGGAAATCTGTAGACAATCCAGTTGTTCTATTTCTCAGTCCAGTGAGTCCTTTCTGCAGACCAGCCTTTCTCAGCCATCTCCACATACAGCAAGAATCAAGAAACTTTCTGAACAGATAGTTTTCTTAAATGTTGTCCATGGAAAGTAATCCTAAGAGGCCTGCTGACAGGTAGTGAAGCGTTTGTAGCTGTGTTAGCCACAGAGCAAAGAGCTGCACAGGGCTCCCTGTGCCCAGCTCAGGGCACACCACAGAGCCAGCTTTCAGGCCACCTGCCTTCTCTCAGCAACACCAGTGCTTTCGGCTCCACTTTAGAGCACTGCCACCGCCACCATCCCCTTTTCTGATTGTCCCTGTGTTCAGCTCCCACAACGTTAGAGTTCCAGGTGGAGGGCTGACTGCTCTCTGCACATTCAGTCCAGCTATCCTCCTACAGTGTGGTGGCATGCCAGTGTCACGGCACTAGGCAGGTGAATCCAGGGTGGCCCTGCCCAGCTGCGTTCTCTTAATGTTTCCCTTTCAACAGTCCCCTCACAATCCTCATGCAACACCTGTCATGAAAATCACTGACTCTATCTACAGTGTTTTCCAAAATGTGGGTTTTGACATTTATGTTGCAGCTTAGTGGGTTTAACTAGCATTTTTTTAAATGAAAGATTGAGTAGGAGATAGGATAAGAGAGAATGGAATTGGGTTCATGGCACATGGTAAAAGTAAGACTCATTTCTTGAAACATTTGTGTAACTGCACTGGGCACAAGGTAGAAATGCATTTCTTACAGTGGTTATAAAAAAAAGTGTAAAAACCCACTCATACACACGGTTTAACTTTTAAATATTTAGGTATAATCTGCATACATTAAAATGCAAAAGCTTAAGTATACAGTTTTGACAAATGGATACAGCTGTGTAATTAACACCCTATTTAAGATACAGAACATTTCCATCACCTAGAAAATTCTCTCATCCCACTGCTGCACTGTCTTTAAATCGAGAATTTACACTGTAGTCGCAATAAAAGTGAAACAGAATTTCTCAAGGCGTGTGGGGAATAGGTGTTTACAAATGAATGGCTCTGTGATAAAACACATTTTGGAAAATCAAGATTAACAAAGATAACAGCTTTCTTTAATTCGACCTAAAGCCTTTACTATTGCTAATATGCATTGGGGCACTTTCAGAGGATGATACAGAGGTAATTCATTCTAAACATATTTGGCTACACAATCTTTTTTTTTTCTTCCTGTAGTATGGTTGGGTTAAATTTTCCATGGAACATACTTTGGGAAACACTGAACTCTGGGGGGAAAATAAAGGTGCTTGTAGTCATGCAAGTGCTTGAATGGCCCCCCAGCTCCATCTTACCAAAGGAAAGCCTTTTATGCTTAATGAGGAAAAAATTTCTCTATAGTTAAAAAAGAACCACCACCACACCAGAGACTTTCAAAACTGCAAGACACCCAAGTGAGAGTATCTGTGTGTGTGTGTAAAAACAATCACTGAAATAAAAGTCTCCTGAAACAATTCTTGACCTTACTGTGTGTAATGCAAACTATTATTTTGTATTCTATTCTATCTCCATGTTTTTTCTTTGTGCTGGCTGAGACCCCCCATTTTTTTAAGAAATAATAATTTGTATTGAAAAAAAGTTGACACAGAATATTATATTGGTCTGAGATGAGCATAGTAATTCGACAATTATATACATTACTAAATGCTCACCATGATGTGTAGTTACCATCTCACACCATACGAAGATTTTTCAATATTATTAGCTATATTCCTTATGCTGTTCTTACATCCTTGTGACTAATTATAATTTGAAGTTTGTACCTCTTTATCCCCTTCACCTGTTTCACCTGTCACCCTCCCTGCTCCCTGATAATCAACAGTCCATTCTCTGGGTTTATGAGTCTATTTCTGTTTCATTTGTTTGTTTTCTTTTCAGATTCTACATATAAGTGGAACCATATGGTTTTTATCTTTCCCTGACTGCCTTATTTCACTTAGCATAATGCCTCCTCTGACCCTGTCTTCCTCTCTTCTCTCTTCCCTTGTGCATTATGACTTCTTTAGTGTTAATGGTTGGAGTCCCTTCTCTTTGTTTTTTTTTTGTGTGTGTATTACAGGGTTTTGGCTGTGGCTACCACGGGGTTCATATACGGCAATCTATGATAAGTTGATGGTCACTTAAGTTTGAACGCATTCTAACACCACATTTCTTACTGGGATGCCTTATTTTGATTTCATTCCCCACTAAGGGATGCCAACTCACTGTTGAAAACATTGAGCCAGAGCTTTGCTCCATGACATGATAGCCATTAGCCACATGTGGCTATTGAGCACTTGAAATGTGGCCAAACTGAAGTGGGATGTGCTGTCAGTGTAACACACACAGGAGTTAGAAGATGTTGCATGGAAAATATGAATTTAAGATATCTCAATAATTTTTATATTGATTTCATGTTGAAATGATAATACCTTGGATATATTATGTTAAGTAAAACATATTATTAAAATTAATCTTACTTGTTTCTTTTCACACTTTAAATATGAACAGTAGAAAATTTTAAATTACATTTGTGGCTCACAGACTCACATTATAATTCTGCTGGGCAGCACTTCATAGACTGTAAGCTCCATGAGTTCTAGGACCACAATTCTGTTCACTAACCCCTTTGGTCCCAGCATTTGAGATACTTCTAATTTGTTTTGTTACTTTTCCATGCCACCTAGATCTAAATTTTCAGAATTACTTTTAACTAACTCCTTCCCTCACAAACACTATTCCATTAAAGTTAGGAACTTTAGAATTTGGCAGAAAAAGTGTTAGCAACACTGTGAGAAAAAGGCCACTTTAAGATGAGCTATGAATTGGTATAATCTGGGGGGATGATAATTTGGTGGCATCCAGCAAAATATCAAGTGCACATTTCTTTTAAAACCAGCGGGTCCGTTTTCAGGAATCTATCCTGCAAGAACATTTGCCAAGTCCACAAAGATACATGTGAGAAAGGTGTTCATTGCTGAATTATTATTGTGATTTTCTTCTTTCCCCTTCCTTATGGTAGGTACCTGGCTATACAGAAATGAAAGTCACAAGGTCCCGGTGCCGTGGGTCAGCACACAGATCAGAGGGCGAATCTTGCGAGGCTGGCTGTGGTCGCCACACATTCACTCCTCTCCAGGCCCGTTCACAGATTCTGGCTATGAACTTTGACAGTGGAAATCTTTTTCTTGTTCCCAGATTCACCGAGACATAGGTGACATGTAACATTCTCTTGATTTTCTGTACCTCAGAGAAATCAAACTTTTCTACCTCAGAGCCTTTACATTTATTTGCCATTGCCTCTGCCTGAGATTTCCCCCAGCTCTTCACTTCTCATTCTTCAGATTTCCATTCAAATGTCCCCTCCTCAGACAAATCTTTCCTTACAACCTTATCTAACTCAATCTCTACCTTTACTATCTACTACATCAGCCTATTTATTTTCTTTATGGTATTTAGAATCGACAAGTATCTTGATTTATTTATTTGTTCACTGGTACAGATGTTTTTCCTCAGAAGAACGTAGGGTTCAAGAGGGAAGGGACCAAGTCTGTCTTATTCACACTTTTTTTGTCCATGAAGCCTGACAAATGCCAAGACAGGCCACTTCATAATTACTTGCTAGAGGAGCTCACAGCTCACAGGGCTGCTGTGAGGATTTAATGAGTTAATGAACATCAAGCACATAGTGTAAAAAGCTCAACCAGTGTTGCTCATTGAGGCCTGTCTAAATAAAAGGTCACATATTATTTTAACAGACTACTGGTTAACAGATAAATGAACTAGAAAAAGCTAAATATATCAACATGGATGGACTCCTAAAACATTACTGATTGAGGAATGCACATTTCAGAGTAATATGAACCAAAAAAGAAAAAAAATGGAGGAAACTGGGTGAAGGGTAAATGGTACCTCCCTATACATTTTTTTTGCAACTGATTTCAAATCTATAATTATTTCAAAATAACAAATTTAAAAAAAATTAGTTTGATGTCATTTATTTAAAGCAAAAAAAGCAATTATAAAACAATATGAATGCTAAAGTTATGTTTTTTAAGATCTGAAAAGATATACTTCTAAACTCAAAACAATGGTTTTCTTGGGGTTGGGGGAAAAGGTAGCAGGGACTATGGGGGTGGTCAATAGAGATTTAGCTTTATCTGTAATATTCTAGTTTTTAAAAGAAAAATTAAAAAAATTGTGAACTTGTAAATAATCCTAGGATAAATGATCAGAAATCCATTTTTATGCAGACTATATCAAGTTTATTCTGATATCAGAGGTGAATTAAGAGTAAGAATAAATGTAAATATGATTAACATTTGAGCCAGGTACACATTCCCATTCATTTCATTCCTATTAGGTCGAACCACATGAAACTGACAATAGCCCACCATTTTTTACCTATAGAAGTGATTATTTCAGTTTGTTATGGACAGAATATTTGTGTCTCCCTCAAACCCTAATCTCAGTGATGGTGTTTGGAAGTGGGGCCTTTGGGATGTAACTGGGTCATGGGGGTGGAACCACCATGAAGTGCCCTCATAAGAAGAGGCCAGACAGCTAGCTAGCTCTCTTTCTGCAACGTGAGGATAGAATGAGAAACTAGCAGTTTGCAACCTGGAAGAGTCCTCATCAAAATCTGACCACACTGGCACCCTGATCATAGATTCCCAGCCTCGAGAACTGTGAGAAATAAATTTCTGTTGTGTATAAGCCCCCCAATTTGTGGTACTTTGTTAGAGCACCCAAATTAACT